CTCCTGTACCAGTCACATCCTATTTGATGGTACACACACTAATAATAATAATAATAAAAAAATTTAAAAACTACTAATGGTAATTATACACAAAGACAATTTGAGAATCAGATTGACTGCATCTGTGGAAAGAATTGGTGGAGAAGCCAGCCCACTATTTCAGCAGTCAAAACCATGCCAGGGGCTGATTTGCCAATTTATATGCAGGTGAATAAAATTAGTTCTACAAGCACTAAAATATGACCTAGAGAATATCCCACCTAAATTAAAAAGCCATCTCGAAATCACTGGGATAGCAGAATTTAGTGGGCAGATGGGTGGGAGGAGGAATGGGAAAGATGCAAGGGAGACTTGAAAAGACAGAATGGGGGGAAAAAGAAAAGGTGGAATGGTAAAAGGCATAGATCAATAGTAATCAGTTACATAAAACACTGAATAATTGTACAAAACGGAAAATGCTCAATGAAAAAAAAGTATGTATGAAAACTCACTGTTAAAAAACTCAAAGTTTGATTTTTTCAGAAATTCTCCTTAAGGATAGACTTAATAGGAACGATTATATAAAACATAATATGAAACATACTATATACAAATTTTGTATGCAAATCAGTGTAAAATAAAATTTAAGAAAATTAATAAACTTAATGCATTGAACACTAATGACCGAAGACCAGATGAGTTTTGGAATGTTATCAGGAACATTGTTCGTGAGTTGGTGGTGGTGATGCTGTTGAGTTGGAACTTACCAATAGTTGATCCTCCAGCGAGATTTCAGAGACAGTAAATAGCACAGGAGGAAATTGTCCATCCTTCTCCCACAGAGGAGCTGGTGAATGTGAACTGCATGCCTTTGGGATTGCAGTGCACTTTCTTAGAGACAAAAAGGGATGTCAGAAGAGTCACTGAAAACACTGGAATGAAAAGAAGCCAAAACAAGGAAAAGCAATGCTGAGGTAAGAGCTGAGATTTCCAAGGACAGTTCAGGAAGACAAAGCAGAAAATTAGAGAAATGTGCAAGGAAGGAGTGGGAATTAGAAAACCCAATGGGAAGAACACACTTAGTATTTCTCAAGCTCAGAGAATCGAAGCACAAATTCAGGCCTTGAGTTGCAGCACAAAAGGCTCTTATAGACAGAATTTTGAAAGATATAAGAAGCGTCAAAAGAAGATGAAAAGAATGCGCAGTGTCACTGTACCGAAAAGGATTGACACTGAACCATTTCAGGAAGTAGCATACTTTCAAGAACCAGTGCTGAGCGAGCGGGATCAACCATGAATGAGTTTTTGTTGTTGTTGTTGTTGTTTTTTAAAGTGAACTGAGGGAGAGGGATGAAGGAAAATGTGCAAAAATAAATGAGTGAAAATTGAACTTTTCTGTAAACTTTAGTTAAAATCACAATTTAAAAATAAGAGTTTTTAAAAAAAAACACCACCAGCGGTAATAAAGGAACATCATAGATGGAGTAAAGGTTGAGGTTGCTAAGGATTTCATTTTACTTGAATGTATAATTCACACCTATGCTGATCAGCACTCATGGTGAGCAGTAAATTAAAGATGTCTTGCATTGAAGAAATCTGCTGTCAGGGACCTCACCAAGAGTTCTAAGGAGCAAGACAGTCAGTTTAAAGACTGGTGTGCCTGATCCAAGCCATGGTATTTTCAGTTTCTTCTATGCATCTGAAAGTTGAACAGCATGTAAGGAAGACCATAGAGTTGATGCCTTTTTGAATTGTGGTGATGGAATAGAGTATTGATTATGCCATTGACTGCCAAAAGAACAGACAGAACTATCTTGAAGTGCAACCAGAGTGCTTCTCTGAGACAGGGATGGCGAGACAGAATACACTTTGAGGTTTATTTTCCGGAGGTACCAATCCTTGGAGAGGGACCCTATTCTGGGAAAGGTCAGCAGAAGTGAGGAAGGCTCTGGTTGAGATGGATTGATCCAGTGACTAGTACAGTGGGCCTGAACAAGAGGATGGTGCAGGATACGGCAGGGTTCAGAGCTGTTACTCCTAGTAACTAGCTGTGAGTTGTAATTGACTTGATGACACCCAACAACCAGCTCAACATAGGGTTGCTGTGAGTGAGAATCAACGTGGTGGCTAGAGATTTGAGTTTTCATTTACCAGAAAAATGTCTGATACTTTTTTGTTAAAGTTTGAGTTAAAGTCTAGCGGTAATCCTTTTTCAAAATGGCATGTTTTGAAAAACAAGAATGGTCAGTAGAATACCAGTACAGCTTTTGGGTTGATGAATGCCTATATGCATTCATTACTTGACAGAAAAACCTTAGACTTCAGATGAAAAAAAAATTTTTTAAAGAAAAGCCAATTCACAAAAGTATTTCTTTCTCACTTGTTACTAATTGATGTTAGGAGAACATTAGATGTTAAAAAGTGATATGCTAAAAAAAATTTTTTAAAAAAAGTGATATGCTGTGGAAACTGACAGTGATAATTTGCATAAGATGGTGAGCATAATATCACTGACTTGTACCTGTAAAAAATGGTTGATTTGACAAATATTACATTATTTTTTTTACCCCAATAAAAAAAATGTGAAAGTATAAAGATGTGTAGGGACCTCTGATGGTGTAGTTCGTCAGGGTTTGCACTACTGAGCCAAAGGCAGCATCTCTGCGCGTGTGAATCCACCACGCGGCTCCACGGGAGGGAGAAGGTCAGGCTCCTGTACAGTTTGCGGCCTCTGGAGAGCCACTGGAGGGTCAGCTGTGCGCCAGCTTCAACTTGACTGCAATGTGTTGTTTTTTTAAAATAATATAAAATGGGGAGTTAATGGACAACAATAAAGAAATAACTGATATGTCTTTTAAGCTGAGTACATATGATCTTTTCCAGTGAACCACGTATTATTAGTAGGATTATCCTGTGCTGTGCCTGGAATGGAGGCGTATTCTGGGTAAGTTCTTTTCCTCAGATTTCAAGTGTTTTGTGGTTATCTTTGGTCTTACAAGCATTTTATTTGCTGTCTGATAATGATTTTCACTTAACTTTTCCTTGAAACACTGAGACAAATACTTTTCACATGTTGACGTGCTTAAGAATATGACTCAATTCTCTACTCTTGACATTTCATTCTCATTTGAGAAAGAGCACTTTTGTATGGATGAATGTCAGATAATCCTGAATATACATTAAAAAAAAAACCACAGTGTGAGTCATTGCCAGGTTTTGTGCTATTGGAGGTTTCTCTCGACATGAACTGAACTAAGAATTTTTAGGATCAGAGGGGAAGGATAGCTATGGTTGGAAAAGAGCAAGGATTTCCCTGCATCTCTTCTTAACATCCTACCAGGATTGATCACCATTGAAGCCCATGGCAGAAAACATTAATTAACTTATGAGCAGCTCCATAAGCTTAAGTGAAATTTGGGTGCTTTGGAGAACAAGTGATTAATTACTTCCTTTGACCTGGATCTAATGTAGTACAACTCACTTTAGTAAGATTTGCTAGTTATGATTTTGGGATGTTAGTTTCAGACTTAAAACATGACTTCATACTGGGTATATACATGTATTTAGTCTGGAATATGTGAAATGTTCTTCCATGTCCCAGACAGTTTCACAGATTTATAGGCAGTCTCAGTTGACAAGGAGCAGTAGTGGTGAATGTGCTCCCTGCATGTTGGGCTGCTGACAGGTATGACTCCACCAGCTGCCCCAGGGGAGGCCAGGGAGGCAGTCTCCCTCCTTCAGGCAGCAGCCGTATTCTGGGAAGTCACATGCTGTGCCTCCAGGGATTCTGAGAGAGTGCCTGGCCCCTTGTTTAGAGAGGATGCCCTTGTCTGAGATGATTGCACTGGAACCTCTTATTTGAAAGGTGTTGTTAACTTCGCTTTGTTGCTCTCTTTCCTTTAGTTTAGTCTCATGCTGTTTTACCGAGTGTTTATTCCTGTGCTTCAGTCAGTGACAGCGCAAATTATTGGTAAGTAATGCCTTTGCTATTTACTAGGGTTGGAGGTGGGAGATTATTTCTCTTCTCCCTTAGTTAATTGAACACTTTCTATGTGGTTCAATCTAACCTCTTTACACAAGAGTGTACAATTATTGTGCATATTTATGGGTGAGGAAATGGAAGCTAGTTACTACCAGGATTAAGCCATTAGTGTGTTGCAGAATTAGAGGTCCTTAAAACCAGCTAGTTTCCTGAAACAGTACACTCTAACTCTCTGGCATCAAAATTACTGACACAGAAACACATTAATTTCAAAGTAAGCAGCACATACCTGTAATGACTAAGGCTTAGTGTTATGACCAAATTTGATGTGTCTTGGCATAACAGGTAAGCACTCAGCTGCTAACCAGAAGTTTAGCAGATCAAACCTACGAGCCACACCATGAAACAAAGACCTGGCAATCTGCTCACATAAGGATAACAGCCTAGAAAACTTGGTGTGTGTTACACACAGTTGCATGCCGACATGAGTTAAAAGTATACAGCACCGAACAAGAACTTGGATGGGAGAGGGAACCCTTTTGCCTTCCAGTGTATTCCATTTTATTCTAACCCTACACATAGAACACACAGAAACCTGCTCCATGTGATTTCCAAAGCTGTACTCTGGACAGACACAGACTGCCACGCCTTTGTCCAGAAGCATCTGGCAAGTCTGAACTATTGACCTTCTGTTAGCAATTGAGTATGTAACAACTACACCACCAAGGTGCCATACAACAGCAATTGGACCTAAGACAAAGGACTAGAAATTAAGAAACTCCAGCAAAGGACAGAATTATAGTGGTGGAAAGTAGTCACAAAATGAGAGTTCTGTCTTGGGGTTGTCCACTTCTCCAGCTAAACTTACAGTAAATCTTTTTCCCCAGGTGATCCGTTACTACATGGAGATGTTTGGTCATGGCTGGAATTCCTCCTCACGTCAATTTTCAGTGCTCTCTGGGTGCTTCCCCTGTTTGTGCTGAGCAAAGTTGTCAATGCCATTTGGTTCCAAGTAGGTTCAGGGCAGAATGGAGTGTGGGTTCCGTGGCTTGATAAGCTGCTGTGTGGCAGGTTTTCAGCTGGTGGTGGGTAATAGGTTTGTAAGGGCTTATTGCTTGGCCTTAACCTTTTCAAGCAAGCAGACAGTGGGTGATCTTTCCTAAAGTGGAAAAATGATCTCAGGTCATTGCAACATCTCACTGTAAGACGTTTGAGTGTTCTCACTTGACAATCCTTGTGGCCTTAGCTGTGGGATTTTGTCCCTGGGTCATTTAACTAATGTTATTATGTTAAGCTACTGTCTCTCCTACAGGATATAGCTGATCTGGCATTTGAAGTATCAGGAAGGAAGCCGCACCCATTCCCTAGTGTCAGTAAAATAATTGCTGATATGCTCTTCAACCTTTTGTTGCAAGCTCTTTTCCTTTTCCAGGTGAGACCAGTCTTCTGGGCTTGTGGGCAAGGATCAAATTTCCCTTTAGGGCACTCCCTAGCAACATGGTATAGCATTTATGCTTCCAGAGCTCTGGTACCATGGTTTATAGAGAGGTAGGCACTCATCTAAAGCTGATGTCTCTTTGCTGGTTTTAATCTACCGGCTGCTCTGCAGGAGAAAGATGGAAATTCTTCTCTCATACCGTTTATAGTCTCCAAAGGGTCAGCTATGAGATGCTTCTGATTTGATGTCAGTGAGGGTGGGGGCGGTTGCATACCTTCTGGATCTCTGGTAGTAAAGGGATGGTACAGTGTGTTGTGCTAACTGAAATCATGGTAGCATGAATCCACCTGTGAGTTTTTGAGAGGAGGGGAATGTATAACTTTGGGCAGGTATGAAAAGTCATACCATAAGCACCATAAACCACACATTATCCTGAAGCATCTCTTGGACTTTTAAAAATTTTAAACAGGACTTTAAAAGTCTTCATTCTAAGAAAGTGGGATTTGTCTGCTCTTCCCCTGCCATCTGGACATTTTGTCATTCTGCAGTTCAAAAGCTTGAGAATAACTGAGGCTTTATTGTCAGAGAGAGAGTGATGGCTCAGAAAGGCAGGTCTCTGAGGGTTTGAAATGAAGATTTTCATATGCAATTTATTTATTTTTTTTTTAATTTTTCTTTTTCAGGGGATGTTTGTGAGTCTCTTCCCCATCCATCTCGTTGGTCAACTGGTTAGCCTCCTGCATATGTCCCTTCTCTATTCACTTTACTGCTTTGAATATCGCTGGTTTAATAAAGGTAAGTCCATCTTCCTAACAAATTAAGAAACAGAGAATATGGAAATTCCATTTCAAAATGCTTACTGCTAAGCAGACTTGTTAAATTCAGTACACAGAACACTGGCAAACCATTTTTGGAAAGAAATAGCCATATTGTCAAAAGGGAGCTTACATTCTATGTAAATGCTTTAATCCAGCTTTTTCTGTTTGACATTTTGCTTTCTTTAAGATTAATCTTGACCAGGAATCCTGGTGTTGCATTTCATAATTTGTTTAGCCAGCCAACTTTGAAATGATGATTATTGAATTGTCAAAAAACAACCATCAGGCGGCCTTTATATCCTAGTCTGCCGCCTCTATTTATTTCACTAAAATAAAATCTGCAGTCTAATTGTATTGCCTCCTTGTTGTAGGAATTGAGATGCACCAGCGATTGTCAAACATAGAAAGGAATTGGCCTTATTACTTCGGATTTGGTTTGCCCTTGGCTTTCCTCACAGCAATGCAGTCCTCATACATTATCAGGTAATTTGATTAAATGGATTTGAAGGGAGTAGTAAAAAATTTTGTTAAAGATAATTAATTACTGCAGTAGTACACTGTCAGAGAACTGCCAGGACTTCAAGCCAGATGCAGAAGGGATGAAAAGAGAGATCACTGCTGATGTAGATGGACTTTGGCTAAAACACAGAATACAAGAAAGATGTTTACCTGTGTTTTATTGACTATGCAGCAGAGGCACCCAGACTGTGTAAATCATGACAAATTATGAATGAACTACTTGACTCAATATGCTCATCAAATAAGCTATGAAGCTGGTTGCAAAAGTAACTGAAAACAGGACATGGGGACACAGGACCATGAGCTTCTGTCTGACAGAGCCAGAGGGAGTGAGAATCGTGTAGCCCCTCACCACCCAAAAGCAGAAAGCAGATAAAGAGCCCACATCCCAGCCCCCTGGTACCTCTAAAGCCACTCTGCAGCAAGAAGTTCATTTATTTATTGTTGACTCTCAGACTGTAGTACCAAGAGTGGTGTTTATTAGGGAAGTCAGTTAGAGAGTGGGAGAGGCAAAAAATATCATCCAGTACAGGTCCAGGTTTTAGCCCAGCAGTTCCAAGACACAGTTCCTCAATTAGTCCAGGCAGCTTTTCCTTCCATCATCCAGGAAGAACAGAAAACTTTTTAACTGTGGCCTTTATCTTAGGGCTTCTCTGATTACACTTTGCCACAGTTTCTCCATAGCAATACCATATTCTGTCCACCATCATCACCAATGTCTTACTCTTGCCAGGTTCCTGTCTCCCTCAATTCTTGCTGCCCCGTGTGGGAAGCACTCACTCTCTTATCCTAGTCCTACAGCTGTTGATGATTTACAAGATCATGTATGTGCAATTAAGGTAGCTAGAGACAAGAAGGGGCAAAGGTAATGGCTAAAAAAGCCAAATTTAAAGTTAACACTGCTCTGGTCTACATAAAGACTGAAACATAAGAATTGGAGGGAAAATAGTCTATGATAAAGTTGACACAACCTTGTTTGCTGAAAGTGAAGACTTAAAGTACTAATTGATGATGGTCAAAGACTACAGCTTTCAGTATGAATTGCACCTGATCATTAAACAAAAATCTTCACAATTATATCAATAGCAACATCATAATAAACAGAACAGACTGACACTGTCAGGGATTTCATTCCCCTTTGTTGCACAGCCACAGAAGCAGCCACAAGGTACTAAGTGTATTTTGCATTTTGCAAATCTGCTATTAAGAATGTTAAAAAGCAAAGAGTAACCTTGATAACAAAACACCGAACCATGATGTATACATGTGAAAATTAATCATTCAAGATCAAAGATGAATTGATGCTTTTTAAATTGTGGTAATGGTGAAGAATATTGACTATATCTTGGGCTGCCAATAAAACAAATAAATCTGTCTTGGGAGAAGTGCAGAAGACATGTTATCAAGAAGAACCAATTCCTGGAGAGGCCATGGTGTTTGGTAGAGGGTTAGTAAAAAGATGACAGAAACAATGGGCTCACATATAGCAGTAGTAGTGAGGGTGTACCGAACTGGACAGTGTTCTGTCCTGTTAAACGAAACTTCATCAGTGTCACGACAGTACCTGCTAGCACCTTCTGCTAGTTTGCTTATGTTTGCCACTTGGCATTAAAATCGGGGCTACATGAGACTGTATTCCATATTCTTTCTATTGCATGACTTCCTAGAGCTATGTTAATACATCCAGTGCTTAAAGAAACCTTTTTAAAAGAAGTATCACTGATATATTAAGATTTTACCAAGCTATATTTTGCGCTGAAGACAAACGGTTTAAGAGTTCTGCGAAATAGGTGACTAATGCTTTTTTACTGTTAACAGTGGCTGCCTCTTCTCCATCCTCTTTCCTTTATTCATTATCAGCGCTAATGAGGCAAAGACTCCCGGCAAAGCATAGTAAGTATGAACTGCTGATAAAAATATCAAAATGTGTTTGTTATGTGAAGATTGCTGTGTGTACTATCAAGTTAGAACGACCCATAGCTGACCCTCTGCAGGTTTTCTCAAGTAGTTAATGGCACTAGAGGAAATTGTCCATCGTTCTTCCGCAGAGCAGCTGATGGATTAGAACTGTGTGCTTTCAGATTGCAATGCAGCTTCTTATCACTAGGTCATCATAGTGCTATCATCTAGAAATTAATCTTATTCCACATACTCTTAAAATGTTAACATTAAATCTTAAGAAGCACTTGTGACACTCGAAGTTCATTTTTCTAAATGGCCAAGTTTTTTAAATAGTATTGGGTTGGTGTTTTTGCCATGAGTTTGTTGGTAATGATAATAAAATGTAGTAGTTGGAAATGAGTTTAAGCAACACCAGTAGCACGCCAGTTGGATCACTTAAAAGCTCAGTCACATGTGCCTAGTGATAGTTTTGATGAATGTTGGTTAAGTCAGTGGAGATCCTTGGATTAGAAATCTCAGATCTGAGCTCTGGTGGCCTAGTGGCAAGAAGCTGCACTGCAATCCTGGAGGTGCGCGGTTCGAATCCATCAGATGCTCTGTTGGAAAAGGAGGGACAATCTCCTCCTGTACCAGTAAGATGTGATTTGATGGTGGTACACACACACACACAAAATAATAAAATACAATTTAAAAAATCTTAGATCTGTTCTCCGTTTTTGTGTGCTCATTGTATGTATAATTGAACCATATAGTAAAAAAAAAAAAACACACACACAAAACACTGCCTTGAAATTGATTCAGACGTAGGGGAGCCATGCTTTGGGATTTTCCAAGCTCTTAGTCTTACCAGAACAGCCTGGTTTTGCCCCCATGTCTGCCAGCTCTTTCATTGGCAGTCCAGCATGTACTGCCCTGTACAACAGGATCCCAGAACCACATATGTAACGTATGATACCTTCAGTCATTGCTTAAACTTTGCACTCTGAAATCAACCATCGGAAAATAATTCTTGAACCAGAATTAGTCTTCTGAAATCTGTCTCTTAAGAGCTTCTGTCCTTCAAAATTAGTGGTTCCTTTAAACTCCTAGTAGCAACAGGACCCAATGCTTTCCTTAGTTTTTCCCTGTTCAATCAATACATGTTTAAATATCTGTACTTCCTTGTTCAAATGCTCATTTCTTTGATTTTTTCCCTTTGCTGGTATATTAATTATGATTAAATAACCTGTTACACTTTAACACTTGATGGTCAAATGGTGAACTAATAAATTGGGTCTCTTGCCTTTTCAGCCTTTTTCAGTTGCGCCTCTTCTCCTTGGTGGTCTTCTTAAGCAACAGACTTTTCCACAAGACAGTCTACCTGCAGTCAGCTCTGAGCAGCTCAGCCTCTGCA